CACGTGAAATCAAAGATTTTTTAGGAAAAAAATTCATCGCCCTGCAGTCTCCCCTTCAACTAGAGCGGACGCGATTGGAAAAATGTTGATGTTGCCATCTTGTGCCACTGTCATGAGTAGCGTTCCTTTATACTTCTCGTATAACCAATCTTCCACCAATTTGTATAATAGGTTTACAAAAGGTAAACACTTTTATTCATGGTTCAAACGCCCAGAAGAGTCGGTGGGATATGCCATTTCCACTAGCACGTGTCTCATCTGGGGTATATGCCGACAAGGCCTTCAAAATGACAACAGTCCTTGGAGCATAATGCCTAAGTGCCACCAAATAATTTGGAAGTTCTTTGTATGAATCTTCCCAATTTCTGAACACCGTTTTAACAACCTTAGTCTTAGCTATCCATTCTTTCTTGTACGATGAAGTATAATTGTTTCTTTGAACAATATGCGAGATTATTATACTCATATTCAAAATCGGATTGTCGCTAATGATATACATAATTTTATTGCATATTAACTGAGAGTTGAGTTTGCGATGATCCTGCATCGAATTAGTGATTATACAAGTGTGCTCTGGACCCATAGACCCTATCTTCCAAGAATCACTGCTCTTCCGGTAAGATGTTATCAATTGGAACGGGCATACCTCATTATGACATAAGATCTTATACAGAGTCACGTTCATTCGATTGACCCTATAGTCAATTGATAATTCCATGTGATACTGTTTTATAGCTCGGGCACAATCTTCTTTTGTTCGAAAGTTATCTCCCTCTTTTAATACTCTTTATGTTGGTATATATGGATTGTAAAAAACATCTGAAGGTTGTTCATTTGCACCCAAGTTCAGGTTTTTCATGTGTTGAGGTGGACAATAAACATGATTGGTCGGTAATGAGTCTTCCTCGTGGTCGGCAGTGAAACCATTTACCATTTCATCAACCAAGACCTCAACTTCTTCTTCTTCTTTGTCAACAACATCGACTTCATCTTTTCGGTTGTCATATTTGCAAAAAACTTGAGAAGGATCAATGAGTTGAGACATTTTATGTTGTTGTTGTATAATATAAAGCTCAATATCTTTGAAACCAAAATACTCATGATTAAGAAATATATTATGAACGTCTTCATCATCTCAAACCTTTAACTGGAAAAACTTGACTTAGTTGTCGATAAAAAATACTAGATTCTTGTAGATGATCTGAACCACTAGAGCATACTGCAATTCCTTTTCTAATATCTCTTTCATATAGAAAAAACTTTGATCGTCTGTTATTTGAAAACCGAGTAACTTCAGTATTACAAAAATTGAAACCGATTACGGTACAATCAAATATCTCACCATTGATATGTGCATTGATCATGTATTATGGTGTTTGAGCCACATGTGTCATATGTTGGTGTACTAGTGTTTGATATAATTGTTTTGTGGTGTACTTGTGTGAGTTCAATTTGAAACCTATTAATAGAATTCTAGTTTCATGCAATAGAATTTTTTTTATATATTTTTGTTTAATTATTTTCTTGTTGCAATATTTTTATACTTATTTATATGTTGTGTTATTTCTCTAGTTTCATGCATGATTGTTCAGACTATACACACATTAGTCTAGTCTCAATTATATCTTCTTATCTTTTTATGGCTACTAAGATCCTATTCTTGTCTTCTTAATGCATGCTTTCATTTATGTCTACTAAAACCCTATTCTTGTCTTCTTTTGGCATGCATTCCATGATTTCTTCTCTTTACGGCTTATCTTCCATTTTGTTTTTTAGTTGCATGCCTTACATGATGCCTTACATGATTCTCTTACAAGATGTCTTACATGATTCTCTTATCTTCTGCATGCATGCCTTACAAGATGCCTTACATGATTCTCTTACAAGATTCCTTCATAAAATAAGGCGCCATACCAAATGGCACATGCTTTAGAATTTAAACATATGTGCCATATTAAATGACATATGCTTTAACATACACACATATGTGTCATTTCATATGGCGTAAGTATTCATATTGCCATGCAAAAAATGAAATCACGTGAACAAGCTAATCCTTCTATAAATACTCATATGCTTCTGACAACTTTCATCAACATTCACACTCAATCTCTCAACATTCTTAATCTACCCATCTTCTAAGTCACATCTATCATTAAAAAAATGTCTCTCCTTACTATGGGTGATGAACACAGAGGAACAATTGACAATATTGCAACATTTGTAAGTTTTTTAGTTTTTTAGTTGTGTTTACTTATTTACTTAAAGGTATAGCTTCTTTAAGAGTATGGTTTATTAGTCTTTCTAACTTAGTTTCTTTATATCTTTTGTTAGGATGTAAAGAGATTTCTATGTCATGTGCATGACTATGTACCACATGATCCAATCATAGAACCACACCTACGATCATGTGGTTTCTGTCATGTGCTAAACATAGTCTCGTACTCGATTAATTGCAAATATATTCTTGATTTTCTAGAACGATGGAGATCTGATACCCACACCTTTCACCTTCCATTCGGTGAATGCACCATCACACTAGAAGATGCATATATGTTGTTGGGTCTACACATCGATGATAAGGATGTTAACAGTAAAGTTAACCTAGATAAAAAAATATGCGAAGAATTGTTGGGTTCCCCTCTTTGTGAAGACACAAATCTGATACAATCTTCAGGTCGACCCAGGGGTCAAGGTATTAATTTAAAATACCTTATAGAACATTATTCCAGTTTAACATTAGACGATTAATCGATTGAGTATGAAAAGATAATTAAAGTTCGGTGTTATATTATGATTTTATTTGATTATTTTTTATTTCATAAAAGTACTGGAAATACGATAAATATTATTTGTCGTTGTTACGTAACATTAATAAAGTAGACACATATAGTTGATGTTCAGCTGTTTTGGCCTATCTATATAGTTCATTGTGTAAAAATGCAAAAAAGGGTACTTGTATGTTTTATGCTTGCACCTTTTTACTACAAGCATGAGGTTGGTCATGAGTGCCGACACTCGCCCGGTCAACACGAAGCCATTCACATTCCCCTATGCAAACAAGTAAGTATATTTTAAATTTTCAAATGTCTACTGTAAAAAATGATTTATTTGTAACTAACTATTTTTCTATCTTTTTATTTTAGGTGGTCAGTCCTGGGGGAGAATTACAACCAATGTCCCAGAAACGCTATAATCGTGTACCGTAATCTTTTAGACCACATTGGACGGGATGATGTATTACAACTAAACTACTATAAATTTGGCTATAAAATTATCATACTGCAATTCTTCTCATTATTTATTTTATTATGCAGTTTGTCTAAAGGTCGTATCTAGGTCTCGAACATCTGCCTAACCCCGATAATCTTGCTGTATGGATAACAAAAACACCAACCATTAGGTTCACTACAGTGAAGATGCACTAAAGTGATCGAGTGAAACTACAGTTCAACATGTAACAGGATATTCCATTCCTTTCGACGTGTTTGGGAGACTAGCATCAATTGAGAGTAGATGCACAATGGAGTTACGAAGATTGGAGAGACTTTACTAGAGAGATGTGTCGATATTGGAAGGATCAACCTCACCACATATTAAACGAGCATGTCGTGGAAGGGGCTAGACTAACTCATCATTATATGAATTGGTTTAGGCCGGTTACAACGCAACAGTTTGTGTCTGAGCCAATGTATTTGATCGACCCGCGTCAACGTGCTTCGTCGTCATACACCCAACAAGAAACACCTGCTCAACAACCAACCCCACACCATTACCACACCCAACAACAATGTCTACCCACCCAATCTCAAAACCCACCTCACACCATCAATATGCCATGTACACCCAACCATTAAACATCCAAACCCGCAACCTATTCATGCCATACACCCAAACACAAAAAAAAGAGTCTGACCCTTACCGCCAACATCCACACACCGACATCACATCTGCTTATAGCCTCATTAACTCATTCCATTCCACCCTAACCCATCATAGCCCTCAACAAATGAACACACAAACATCTCATCGCCAAACCACCCAACCACTATTTGACTTCCTTATACCACAAGAGGCATTGCATCATTTCCAAAATGATTCAATGTACCAATTTGGCCAACCATACCGCCATCACCTAACCCATCCACTACGATCCAACTTCAAAAGTATGCACACGAAACTGAATTACGGTAGTGTCATTGGCAGCAACCTCCAACTATTGAGGATAAATGATTGAAAATATGTCAAATACGTCGGGACCCTCGCAACAACTACCTTTTTCGCATTCCAATACGCAAAGACCATATTCTCAACAAAATCGTGGTAGATCTCGGATGCAGGCTAATGTGTCGGGATGTGGAACTGGAGAACATTTCGATTGGACGAGTCATTGATTTTTTAATCAATTATTTTAACCTTAAATATATATAAATAACAATTTTATTTATTTTCTATTTTTGTATTTATTTCTATTTTTTATCATATTTTTAATTACATTTTTATTTCTACTTGAAATGATGCATGCACTCCCCGTATACGTATGCGCCATTTGAAATGGCGTAACGTACATACATAATACAAATAAAATAGCACATGGGTGTAATATTGAGAACATATTTCAAATGAAATGACGTTAATACTTTGTGTATAAAACATGGTTATTTCTATAAATAATTTAAAAATATAGTTTATTTAATATTTAATTTGCCAAAACATATTATCTTTAAAAAGAAATTCTAATATAAATCGGAAGTTGTAGGAATAATATCTGAATTTATTTTTTTCTCAAAGAAAAAAAGAAAATTGCTCGAATTTTAGGATGTGTCATAAATAACCTTAAATGTTTGACTTATCCAAATAATAAAAAGATTGTGCAAAACAAAAGAAGAAAAAAAAACGTGATATATAGAATAGAACAGTGATGAACGGTGATAGCTTACATCACTGACAAGCAACTACTTGCTCCACTCCTCATTCCCTCACTCTTCGAGTTGACCAAAATGTCCGAAGCGCTGATCCAAATCGGAGTAGTGGGATGCGCCGACATAGCCCGAAAGGTCTCCCGCGCCATAAATCTAGCCCCCAACGCCACCATCTGCGCCGTCGCCAGCCGCTCACACGACAAAGCCTCCGCTTTCGCCGCCGCCAACGGCTACCCTCTCACCGCCAAAGTATACGGGAACTACGAAGCTCTAATAAACGATCCAGACGTAGACGCTGTATACATGCCTCTTCCCACAAGCCTCCATCTCCGGTGGGCCGTTCTTGCCGCCCAGAACAAGAAGCATTTGCTCCTCGAGAAGCCCGTTGCTCTCGACGTCACCGAGTTCGATCAAATCACACAGGCCTGTGACTCTAACGGCGTTCAGTTCATGGATAACACCATGTGGGTCCATAACCCCAGAACTGCTTCGATAGCCAACTTCCTCAACGATCCCAACCGTTTCGGCAACCTCAAATCGGTAATTTACATGTTCCACTCTCATTCTTCTTTTGTTATCGGTTATATAATTATTGGTTTTTGGGTTCCACAGGTTCGCGCATGTTTTACATTTGCTGCAGATTCTGAATATCTAAACAAAAACATTCGTGTGAAGCCCAATCTTGATGCACATGGCTCCCTAGGTGACGCTGGTTGGTATTGCATTCGCGCAATCCTAATAGCTTCCAACTACGAATTACCTAAAACCGTAATCGCCTCGCACAAACCAGTTCTTAACAAAGACGGAGTTATATTGGATTGTGGAGCGTCACTATATTGGGAAGATGGAAGAGTAGCAACATTCCATTGTTCTTTCTTGGCGAACTTGACAATGGATATAACAGCTATTGGAACAAAAGGAACTCTTCATGTTCATGATTTTATCATCCCTTATGAAGAGAAAGAAGCGTCTTATTATGTTGGTACTGAGACTAGCTTTGATGATCTTGTTACTTGTTGGGCTAGACAACCTAGTAAGTGTACTGTTAAAACTGATCTTCCTCAGGAGGCTCTTTTGGTTAAGGAATTTGCTCGTTTGGTTGGGGAAATTAAGTATAGAAACTCGAAACCGGAGAAGAAGTGGGCTGTGATTAGTAGGAAAACACAACTTGTGTTGGATGCTGTGAAGGCATCAATTCAGAGAGGTTTTGAGGCTGTTGAGATTCAGGAATGAGGCAACGTGTGGAAAGTGTAATCTGTTAAATGTTAATCCATTCCTAATAAAAGTTTCTTTACCCTTTCCTTTATGTAATGTTGGGGATTAGGATTTAGATTTCATCATGAACATTGAGGTAGAGGATGATTAAGAGTTAGATTCAAGGCATGCATGTATGAAATTTTATTTGGGTTCATATCTGGTTTGTTTTTTATGAAATTATATTTGATAATTACAGTGTTTAAGGCCAAGTGAGGATAATATGATTCAACCTAGTTAAGAGTGTTCTCTATTTATATAATGATACATGTACGTGGAAAAATGAGACATTATTGTGTAGCTAATTTGTCTCTATCTTACCAAACTATTGAGGTTAACTGAATTGTTACGGCGACATGAAGTTGGCACGATTGCTTGCGTTTACTCATGAGTTATGTTTAAGCACTTGAATGATTCTCATGTTCGAGAGTTTAAACGATTAGATAAAAATTAAGATGTTGTTCTTATCTGGACTGAGACCAAGATAACATTGACTCATTTATTAAAGTATTGGCTCATATCATAGGCAATCCAACCCCAATGTTAACCACCATGAACAGACGGTCTAAGAAGAAAGGGGATCTTAGGAATATATCAAGTTCCTCCTTAAAGATATACCTAATCATAATATATAATTAAATGGAGGCCGATGACATAATTTGTTATATTATGACACATGCCTATAGGAAGAAGGTCCTCAACTCTCGAATACTCCAAAGTATGCCTATAAAAAAGTTAGAATGTCATAATCAAGATATACACTATATAAAACCTAAAATCATTATTCTCTGTCTTATTAAGTCTATGATTTGGGTGTTAGAATGTTTGTACCTTCCCTTCTTTTCTTCGTGTGTGGAGGAAAAACATTAACAAATAAAGATATAATTACATAAAAGTTGAATATGTTACCAAGACATATTAGATCTAGATTGGATCATTAGTGTCATTTATGAGAATCATTGTATACGGCATTCTCTTTCCTTTCATTCCATAGAAAATGACATGTTCCAGTAACACACCTATTCTTGATGGTTGAGGATTCAAGACCCCAACAGAGTAAAAAAATAACCCGAACTCTAGCTCATGCTCAAAACCTTTGTCTCAAATGGGTATTTTATCGGTGTGATAGTGTATTCAATGTGGCTTTCACCATGGAACAACTTTGCACAAAGAAGTATTTTCACAACCTTCTGTTCTGGTCCTCCTTAGATAAGGGGAACTCATCTTCATCAATATCTCCGGTTATCCCTATGCGGTGTTGTCGCTTCCGCGAAAATAAGGTGCCGGCAAAACAGAAGAGTCGCCACCTTTCGTTATTTATCCCTCGGAGCGGGAAAGGAAACGATCGGAAAAACCTGACGAAAAGGGTAAGACAAGGTCGTCGCAACCGTTGTCTGGGTTCGGGAGTCGGTTACGCAAGGGGAAGGTATTAGCACCCCTCACGTCCGTCGTACTCGACGAGATCCACGCTTGTTGTGTTTACTGGACGAGTTGGTTTATCTATCTACCTATCAAGGCTGGCTTAAACAGAAAAGGAAATGACTCGGCAAAGCATCGCGCTTTATGCCTACGAATTCTCATCAGAGAATGAGAAATCAGAGTCAACGTAGTTCGACCTACGACGGGTTACGGGGAAGGTGGCTCGCCAATACATCAGTATTGTGCCTACGTACTCTCAATAGGTATGGGAGATCAGAGCTTACGTAGTTCGGGATACTACGGATTATGGGGATTCAGATTCATCTGTTTTATCGAGTAGGGTTAAACAGCAGTTCCAGCAGTTAGGGACAAAGCCTGTTTGCGGTGGCGCTGAAGTTTAACGACACTCTTTTCTTCAGAAAAGCTTTCCTTTGAATTACGGGCCCACGGGGCAAAAAGGTTTGAAGTTCGTTTTCTGTCTTTTACGAAAGAAGTGTTTTTTATTGTGTTTGCAATTTCAATCGCACTAAAGACTATGACCTGAGAGTGAATGCGTCGCATGTCACCCAAAGGGTGCCATACTAAACGTCCAGACTGTTGGAAAGAAACTCTCCAACAATCCTTTCTCAGATAGCTTAAGGCTCGTAACGTACGAAAGAAATCATTCATGATTACTGTATCTTAAGCTGTTTTGAGATGAGAAGAGAACATGCCCAACTAGGGGGAGACTATCAAGTCCTACTGTTGTCCTGCCAAGGATTCATCCTATGGTTGAAGTTTGAACAGGGAACTCCTAGAAGTTGTCATGCATAGGTTTCAACCTAAAGTTCTATCATCACTTCCTTATCAAAGGAAATGAGAGTCCTAAGGGATCATGTCAATGATACACAGAAACAGATAAAGCATCAGCTTAAACGGTAAACAATAATACAGTAAAATGCATGCAATGCAAGTGAGGGAGGAAATATGTGTGGGGCATCAGCCTCCACAAGCTCATTTCAACCTCAAGCCAGAATGAATAACAGTAATCATACTGAAAGATAAAGCAACATGCTATCAAGCAAAATACAGTAAACTGCAATCATACAAAAGAAATAAAATGCTATCAAGCAAAATAAACCACATGGGCAAGGGAGCTGGGCTCTACCGAATACCCGCAAGCAAAGTCATACAGTAATAATACAAGCAGAGGGATCAACTCAACCTCTAGTGCAATCATGCTCCTAGCTTAAATCTAGTCTAGATATGGACTTATTCTAATGCATCAAGCAAGTCAAACAAGGCACATCAGCAATACAGAGAAGAAAACAGACAAGAGAACAGATCAACTCCTCTCTCAACTCCAACTCCAAGCTTCAGCTCTTCTAACAGCAACTCAGTCTTCAGACCTTAATCACTCTTGACAAATATCAATTTGCTTCTCCAGGTTTCAACCCTTCAACATAAGTTTCAACTTATTCTCTTTCTCCAAGCTTCAGCTCCTTAAACAGTTCCACCTTCAGGTTTTACTCTTAACCACCAGTATCAACTTGATTCCTTCAGGATCTCCAAGCTTCAAAGTAAGTATCAACTTATCCTTTGTTCCTCAAGCTTCAGCTCTACTCTCAATCTCAATTGAATCCTCTTCATAAGTATCAACTCAGTCTTCAAGCTTCAGCTCCCTTTGCTTTACCAGTCTCAACCTGGTCTTCTCTTCCTGCAAGCTTCAGCTTCTCAGAGTAACCTTTAATCACTTAGAAGTGTCAACTTCATCCTTCAATCTTTAAGCCTCAGCTCTTCATTCAGTCTTTACTGGATCTTCATTGGGTCTTCAAGTATCAACTTGCTTCTTCTTGCTCTTCAAGCTTCAGCTACAATGGCAATGCTCAGGGAATCATCCTCTTCCATACTCTTCAATGAAGTCTTCATCTTCACACTCAAGCCCAACATCTCTCAAGATACTCAAACCAGAAGAAATCACTTAACTGGATAAGCTAGGATATTAGACTGCTTATTAACCACCAAAGGTGACCTATAAGGGTTTAACATCAAAAGAATGGTTCCCTCAAAGGTTCTACTTCCTAGGTACCATCACTTATCCCTACAAAGGAGGAAGGTGAATACCATGGAAGGACCTTGAATCATGGGGAAGAATGGAGGTGAAAGATACCATCCATGTTTGAGAAAGAAATTGACTAGGTCTAAGCCCTACTTAATTCCTAACCCTAAAACAACAACAAAACAAACAAGCCTTCAAGCTCTCAAGCTCTTTCTTCAATCCTCAAGTCTTCTACTATGCTCCTCCATGCTCCTCAAAGCAAAACCAAGCCCACCAAGCCAACAGAGCAAAGCAAAACAAAATACAAGCCCACAAGGGCAACACAAACAACAATCAACTACAAAAATCAATTAAAAATGGTATACTATTATATTAAAATCTAATATAATTCCTAGGGGATCCTATATACCTACCCTTAATACCCTATATGTCCCAACATCTAAATTGACCTAGAAACCCGAAATTCTAGTGTTATTGTGGACCTATGTTAAGGATTGACCTAAATCTACACAACCTAAAGTCATCTAATCAAAACTAATCAAAAATTAATCACAAAATTATGGAATAAATCCATAGGGGAGCTAAAGTCCTAATCTAACTATCCTAAAAAGAATGGCCTAAAAATATGAAGGGAACTAGTTAAACAAAATTCTACAAATCTATGCATCAACATAAAAGGAATTAAAAAGCTATTAAAATAGAAAATATACAAAAAATATTAAAAATGTATGAAATGCAAATATTTTGATTTTATAATTTTCTAGCCATTAACATGAAATAGGAGAAAAAACTCCCATGTAAAAATCATTATTTTTATATTTAATATGATTTTTCAAAGATTAAAGAAAAATGGAGAAAAAGAAAATAAAATGGTAAAACATTGGTGCAGATAGCAATGCCATACAGTTCAATATCCAGATGGGCTCTAAATGGGGGTGTGGCTAGCAATGCGCGCCAGGCCCAAGATTTAATCAGAAAATCAATTCAAAATTATAAAGAAAAAGAAAAGAACTCGGTGCAAAAAGTAACGAAAACTAGTTCAGAATGCAATGGGCCATGAGAGGGGGTGGGCATAGCAAGTATCAACTTAAGCCCAAACGAGAAATTAAATGATACGCTGCGTTTTGGTGTGTCTTCAGACTTCCCTTCAAACATGAAATCAAATCTCATCCACATGATCTAGGTCCAGTCAATGAGTCCACGCATGATCCAACGGCCAAAAGGTTATCTTCTTCCTCCAGCCATCAAAATGGAGGGAAAGCTCCATGAACAGGGCTTCAAATACCTAGCTCGGACTCCCTCCAAACTCAACCAAAATCCATGGTTCAAAATCCTAATCTACTCTAGATTCAACCCTGATCACAACCATAGCCTTAGAATTCAAAGAATCATCCCCAATCTCTAAACCCGATCCAAGATCAAAAATATACTCAAACTTCAATTCTGACTATTCTTGAAATTGATTACCTCAGAATGATCACCACCTCACACTGGTTAAATCTTGATATTAAACTCATGTTAT